GTGTCATGGGCTCTTTTCTGCCTAGCCCCAGCCTCTTCCTGAGCCCTTATCGCTAGCTCATGCACCACCTTAATCCGCTCCTTAAGTCGCCTCAAGTACTCCAACTCTGGGCCTCCTTCGATTTCTGGCTCAGGGGCTGGCCCAAACACAAGGTCCACGGGTGTCCAGAGCTCCCATCCAAACATCAGCATAGCTGGGGTGCACTGGCTGGACACCTGTACAGCTGTCCGGTATGACCACAGGGCCAGGGGCAAATGTTGGTCCCAGTCCCTTTGATGGCAGCTGGTCAGGATAGCAAGCTGGGTGGCCAGGGTTCGGTTAAACCGTTCCACCAGTCCGTCGCTCTGGGGGTGGAGTGGAGTGGTTCTGGTTTTTCTTACTCCTAGCCTTTGACACACCTCCTGAAACAGCCGGCTCGCGAAGTTCCGCCCCTGGTCACTTTGGAGCTCACTGGGGACCCCAAACCGGGCAAACATCTCCTCTACCAGATACTTGGCTGCCATGGTGGCACTCTGGTCAGGCACCGCATATGCCTCTGGCCATTTGGTAAAGTAGTCCATTGCTACAAGGACATAGCGGTTTCCAGTCTCTGTGATGGGGAAGGGCCCCAGGATGCCCACCCCGGCCCTTTCCATAGGTGTCCTGACCAAGTACTGCTGCAGGGGCCCCTGGGAACGTTGGCTGGGTCCTTTGTGTGCAGTGCAACTGTCGCAGCAGTGCACATGGAGCTCCGCATCCTGCCGGCAGCCAGGCCAATAGAACCTCCTCCTAAGCCGCCTCACCGTCTTGGAGTTCCCATAGTGACCAGCTCCTGCTGCCCCATGGACCCAGTGCAGGACTTCTGGGCGGAGAGAGACTAGCTACACTGGTACAGCTAAACTAGCTAGCAGGGCGCTAGCACCTATGCTGATCTTGGTTAGCGATTATTCCAGGCCCCATACACCACACGACTCTGGATATCGCCTAGGCGTGTCCTTTTACAATGACCACAATGCAACACTGCTTTCTCTGTCATTTATTTAGAACCCCTGAACAATGGCACTTCCCCCAGGGTCAGTCTCACACATACAAGCCAAACGAACGGTCCAAAACACAGCACAGCAATTAACTTAGTAAAACATCGTCAGATAACACACCAGCATAAGTCAGCAACACTAACACATAACAACAATGGGGTAACACATAAGAACACTTTAACTATAATTTTATAACTGCTCTCTCTATTTACTGAACTCCCATGATGCACCTCTGCATCATGCAGCTGCCACCACACCCCCCAATGGCTGACATGAATCGTCACAATATTAAAACTAGTTAGACAGTAAATTATTAAAGCTGGCGAAAAACAGTGAACACGCTAAACATTAAAAGCTTGTTTAAAAATATGCGTTTTTAACGCTGGCTTGAACGCTAAACCACTACTCTGTTTTTGCCTCTGAATGCGTTTGCTAACTTCTTGGCGCCAAACCAAGGTATTTGAGTCAAGCACCAACCAAATTACAGTGACTGACAGAGACTTACCTGATGCGCGGGCGGATTCAAACAACTGCGCCCCTCGATCTCACAGTTCAAAAAAGTGTGCGGCCCCGCCCACTCCGCACGGCCCTTATTGATGGTTGGATGATTGGTCTGCCGGAACACCCATTGACCCACTTCCTATCCCGCCACCGATAATCAGGCCGTGTTTGTTTTGCTCGTGCCGGTATGCTGGTTGTTATGTAACTGCAAGGGCAGGGAAACCCCTTTAGTTGAAGGTACAGGCGCATAAAGCTAATCTTGAACAGCTGATAATAGTATTTCCAGAAAACAGATGATTCTTTTATATTAAAGGACAGGATGTCTCTGCTTCTGAACACTAAGTGAACAGCCTGTACCACTGAGTGAATACTGCCCCAAAGAGCCCAGACACCAGGATGCAACCTTAATATCAAGTGTGATTTTATGGGTTTTATTTAATCCAGTCATGAATCTACACAGTCTAGATCAAGGAATTCATTTTCAAACTCGGCATGATTCAGATGTCCTCTCTGCTGAGTTTCTGGTTCACAATCTAAAGCTGTGGGCAGCTGGGACGAGACGATGTCCACATTGTCTGACCACAAACAGGCTGCTGTTCACCGCTCTGTTGGACTCTAGTAAGTTACTTGTTTCAGTCATTCTTTTTCATTAAAAATAGATTTGCAGTTGCAACATTAGCTTTTTCCATGTTGGCCAGTGGTGTTTGCCTTGATGGATTCTGTCATGATAGTAAAACTGAATAGGCCTGTTTGGTTAAATAAAACAGTCCTCAGAGGATCGCAGGTGTGGGACTACTGGTGTATAGAGGCTTCGACACATTATGAAAATAGGCTTGGCGGGGCAAAGCTATAGGTTTATTCTAAATGAAATCAGCCTACAGCCTATATTAATTGTGTGGATGATGAGTCAGCAGAATCCACACTACTGTTATCCAAATCTTTATTATTCTGATTTCTTCCATCTGTTTATCAGCACTTACTAACTGTAGCATACTTTCAGCTAGAAAAACCATTCAACAATCAAAATGTTCATCTCTCCAAGGACATTCATGCTTCTATTCAGAATGTTTCTAAACTTCATACTTTTGAAATATGTAGCTTTATTTTGAAAGATTTGCACCATTCAAATGAATGGGGAAATTCTAGCTCAGAATACTTTCAGCTGTTAAAATGTTCAGCTCTTCAAGGACATTCATGCTTGGTGTTGTACACTGGGTGTGCTTGTGTCCAAACCATCTCAATCTGACCTCTCTGACCTTGTCCCCAAAATAGCCGCTGAATTATCACAGTTTACATTTTATGGTGATTTTGGATATTTCTCAGTCTATCCTTCATTTGAATGGGGAGCACAGAGTGGGTGACATCACTGGCACATCAAATTCAGTTGAAACTCCTAAAATCTCAGTTGATAAGATTAAGGCAAAATTGTTTAGGGAAAATAATTATCTATACAAAGAATTACACCACTCAAAAAAAGTCCTCAAAACAGAATGATATATGTTTATGAAGAAAAAAAAAATACAATTGTTGACATTTTCATTGGCCTTTATTTGAAATTATCCATATTTCATTTCATACTAAACAGTACGAGTTGGATTGAATTTCAGTAGGCACAAACCCCCAGTATTAGGAGACATTTGTATGCCTATCACAACGAAAGTTAGCTTTCCTTTCTGGTGGGAAAAATACAACAAAACAAAACTGATGCCTGCAGTGAAAAACCCTAATTTACACATCTTAATGTAATCATCGTATATCCCACCAACCTAAAAAATTGGCAACATAGTACTATTTTCTTATTTACAAAAGATAAAAAAAAGTGAAATCAAAACAGATTTTTCCATCTTGCTGCAGTTCTTAGGTGAGTGAGCAACAAACAACCCATTTAATACCATTTCTTTGCTGTACGCTCTTTTTTTGGGGTCAAAAACACCCAACGGTTTAACTTTTCTCAGTTTGGTTACTCACCAAAGCTTTTTGTTTAAAAAAGTGAAAAAAAGCTTTATATGTAATGCATTATGGTCATTAATGACCCTGCAAGGCGTTTTAATGGATAACTCTCCACAGGAGGTAATACTGGAGCTCAGATGTCCATCTCGAACTGGTTGTCATCTGTTGAAAAGGAACAGAAGAAAGAGATTAAAAGAAGATATTCAGACCCCTTCACTTTTTTGTACAGTGCTCTAGATTTAATTTGAAATTGATAAAAATGCCTTTTCCCCCCATCAAGCTACACTCACCAAGACATGACAGAAAATATTTACAAATTTATGAAAACTCAAGAACCGAAAGCTCTTGTGCAAGTGTTCAGAGCTGAAATCAGCACTTGAAAGTCTCCTTTGGCATCAATTACAGCTTCCAGTCTTCTTGTTACGTCTCTGCTTGGGTTTTGCACACCTGGATTTGGGCAGTTTATCTCATTCTTCCAGGCAGATCTTGTCATGCTCCTTCAGACTGGATGGTAGGAATCTCAACTGTTATCTCCAGTTCTTCAGTTTAAGCCTTGGCTACAGGACATTTTCATGCTGAAAAGTGAACTATGACCCCGGTCTTATGTCACATACACTCTGCAGGTTTTCTTACCTTACACACACACACATACATACACACACACACACACACACACACACACACACACTTTGTTTCATAGTCCATGGGGACTTTACAATGACTTACATGCATTTCCTGTAGACTAACCCTAACCTTAACCAGAACCACTACTTGCCTCATCCTAACCCTAAACCATGTTGCCACCCTAAAATTCAATTTCTTGCCCATGGGGACCGCAATTTAGATCCCCACCGTGAAATGGGTCCTGATGAGTTGGTATGGAGTCAGGAAGAAGTCCCCACGTAGCAGGAAAAACACGTCCACACACACACACACACACACACACACACACACACACACGTCTTTCTAGACTTAAAAAAAAAAAAAAGTAAATTTATCAAAAGGTGGACTGCAGTCAAGTTCTACAAAAGCTGCCTTTCCACTACAGGACCCTAACAAGCTGTAGACGTAGCACTTCCCTTAACTATCACCAAACATAACCTCTGAGGTTGACATGGACTTGCTGCTTGCTGCTTGACTGCTTTGTTTTTCCACAACATTTTCTCTCCGTTGATCTGTTTAAAGAAGGGAGGGGCTGCTCCTCTCTCACACACACAGTTAGATGTGTGTTTACACACAGTGTTTGTAATACTAATGCTTGAGGTGTGATGGACATTTAACCAATCTCCAGCAACTGCTCACGCACCCCCGGTACTTGATTTTAGTACTAAGGATAATCACGTTTGTTGGCCAAGTATGTTACACACAAGGAATTTGTTTCTGGTACAGAACCGAGGCAGCCATCTGCAGCACCAACTCAACTGACGGCTCTAACCATCGGGGGCAACGAGGGGGGTTTAGTGTTTTGCCCAAGGACACTTTGACATGTGGACTGCACCGAGATTCAAACCTCCAACCCTCCGGTTGGGAGACGACTGCTCTACCCACCGTACTGTCGCCTAATTCCTGAAGGGTGCTGAAATGTAGCTCCCAAACCTTACTTCCAAAGTAGGTCGAGTTTAGTGGAAACACACTACCCGTGAAGAGTGTTAATCGGCTCGATACATTTCAGTACAGTCCTCTAGCGGAAAACCTCCTAAAGATAAATAAAGCAAGCTGGATGAACCTGATCACAATTCAGTGTCACACAAAGGCATGAGGGATTCCAGTTTGACTTTTAATATATTTGTGAATTTTTTTTTTATTTTTGTTTTTGTTTTTGCTTTGAGTGTAGATTGATAAGCAAACAACAACACAATAAGATGTATTGCAAAGGGGTCTGAATGCATTCTGAAGCCAGCTGGCAACATTTGTGTTTGTGCACCAAGCATGACCACACCTTAACAGACTTCAGAGAAGGGGACAAACTAAAACCCTTATCAATATAATCAGAACGTGCAAGGAAAGAAGGAGGAGGAGAAAACACACACACTTGGCTCAAAGGGTGTAGTTCACACAGATGCATACAAACATGTCCTGTGTGTTTACCAAACCAGACAAGGGAGATGGTTGGATGTATTTAGCTTAATAATGAATAGCTGCCTGTACTTGCTCATGAGTCCAAACCTTTGGTCCTACCGACATGAAAAGCTCCATAAGAGGATCACTGCCAAAACAAAGTCAACTTTAAACCGTCGTAATATTCTTCAGAGAAGGTTCTTAAAAGTACAGGACATCCATTACAGCCGTATATATGTTAATTCTTCATATCTGTCCTAATCCCACAGAAGTGTAGCATATACATTATGCAACATATAGTGTCTGTTGAGCAATAAGCTACTGGCCCAGTTTTAAAGGTGCTAAATTCAGCGCAAGTGTCGTGCTGCCAGAACACAGGCATGGCACTGCAGCAACACATGCTGCACCCACATGCTGAATGACAAAGTAAAATGAGGAGTCATGGCAAGGACAAAGGACAAAGGGGTAGCAGGTTCAAGAGACCACCACACGAAGCTGGAAAAACCATTCTATGCACAAGAAAATTAATGTTATTAGATAAGGCTACATTGTAGGGGATGTTTTAATTTCGCTAACTATAGAAAGCATGACAGAGGACATGTATAGACTAATTTACCCGTTGTGATAATTCCGTTTTTGATATGAAGTGGAACAGATGTCTGTACGTATTAGGGATGTCCCAATCTGATACAAAGTATTGGTATCTGTGCTGATCCAGGGATTTTTGACAGGATTGGTATTGGCCAGAATGGAGCCGATCCAATTCTGGTTCATAGAACTGCAGTCCTGTATTTGAGCAGACTCACAACCAACAAGCTGCTATATTACTCACTCCAGCTGTCTGCACTGCTCGTGTGTCGGCTGGCACATAGCCACAACCAGAAGTCTATTTTTACCTACAAGTCTATTTTTTCAGAGCTACGTGTAAAACGCCACAGAATCCACCAAAACAATGAGAGCTCAGTAGTTCCAACCATAACTCTACCAAAACAGAGAAAAACATCAAGTAAAAACATTTGAAAACACATGAGCTATCCTGAACATGGTCATTCCTTTTTATAGTGTGCACAGGGTAACACTTTACAATAAGGGTACAAATAAGTAATATTTAACTAATGATAACTCAATAATTTAATGCATGATCTACAATGTGGTTAATTTGGTAGCACATCAATGACATGCAAGAAGTAAATGTGAAATGTTTCTTGATTGACGATATATTAAGTGTGAACTAATCACAGAAAACCGCACTGACTAGATCATTTGTGAATAACAAGAATTCAATATACATTTTGCAGTAATTCATGCAGGAAATCATCATGACTCATGCATTAGTTAAACATTATTTAAGCATATGATTTGTATCCTTAATATAAAGTGTTACCATGTGCAGTTTTTATTAGTTTTATGTGGCTAGTGAGTTTTGTTGTCCTTTTCTCCCTGTTCTCCAATTTGCTAAATCGATCTGACCTTAATGTACATCCATGCATCAGACGGTGTCACCCCACCCCGTGACCACAGGGGAAAGTATTGAGCAAAGTGCTGCTTGGCACACCAAAATGAGGAGCAGAGGACAACAAACTAAAAGGGGCTGTGGCTACCTTCTATTGTAATGCATACTAGCTGATAAAAATTATAATAATATAAAAACAAAAGCACGACTAGAAGAGTCTCAGTCGACTGACAGGTTTCACGACCAATAACTCGACTATATGACTCATAGGGGCAGCCCTAGTAATCAATATGTAGTTCTGAGAGTGTGTTGTCCAGGTCCCAGTTATTATTTTACTCATATCAATAATTTAAGAATCTAAACTTAATATTTTGGAACCAGGACCCGATCCAGTATTTGAATCAAGAAGCTCCTGAAAAATGCAGTGTGCCAGATTAATTTCAATATGTCAGATATTTATTGAAAATTTACTGTAGGTAAATATAAGTATCGGATCAGAACAGAAGTATCAACAGATACTTAATATTAAAGGAAGCTAATCGGGACATCCCCTAGTATACATGTTTACCTGCAACATTATTCCACACTATAAATCTAGTCTAGAGCAGACACGACAACTACACATTGGTAATATTTACCTGCGATGTCCTTCTCTTCCTCTTCTGCCTCCTCTTTGACATCCTGCAATTTTCCCATGGAGTGTGTGGCAGGTACTGTTACCCCTGGGATCTGGGGCAGACAGCATGGGGGGGTTCGGGCAAGAGGGGAGTTTCGACAATCCAATAGAAACTTCCTGTCATAGATGATCCGGGTACCTGTGTTTACAAGTGAGAAAAACAAAATCTGGGGTTTGACCTGATGTAAACAAATCTCATTTGACATATAAAAGTAAATGCTCTAAAAGATAAATGCAAGAGACCAAAGACTGGAATTTCACAGGATTAAATGGTAGTCTCATTAGTACTAAAGCACTAAGGTGCACATCTGGAGGTTTAATTTTCATTATCCCTATCCAGGAGGATCAAGTTTCATTACCAGAGAAGATTTGAGAAGGAAAGTGGGGGCTCTGCATGTGTGCAGAGAGGAGGGATCAAGGCTGCTACTGCAATAACTTCTAGGAAATCAGAGCACAAAAAAATAGAAGCAAGATCCCTTGAGATCAAAGCCACAAGTTTCCTTCTCTGACTGGGTTTAACATTTACATTCATCACAGTTACAACATGCTTAGGTACTGTATCCAAGGATGGCTTTTTTCCAGGTTTTCTCACAGCGGTGGCTTAAAGCAAAACACAAACCCTGCAGCCACAGCTGAATTCTACAGGGCACATCTTATGTCTGCCACTATTTTGACTTGGGCAAATTCCAAAAAGAAAAAAAAACTGATGTCAATAAATAGCATGCTGAGATAAGTGAAGGAGTGGCCTGCTGCTCATGTTATTTTATACCAGAGTTTGGACCCATCAGTTCACCCTCTCTACAAAGAAAAACATGTTATGTAATAACTGAGCAGTGAACAGTTCATCCTGGACAAAGGGAGGTAAAGCATAGGGGGGAGACCTGGGGTACAGAGAGGGGACTGGAATGCAAACTATAGTGTCAGCAATGCATGCAAAAGAGGTCAGTCTAGCAACATATGTTGACCCCAGTAGAGTGCAATGTGTTCCACATGAAGTAGAACACAAGTCAAAACTTGGTGTTGCAACTTCATAAGCTGAAAAAAAATTGCTCATACTCCCCATGCATTAGACATTTCTCCTCCCTCTCCCTGTATACTTGTACAGAATGTTCCCTGTTCCTGTACTGAAGCAGGGCTAGGGCAACCTCTCCACCATGACTGAGGCCAATCACTTTGCTGTTATGGCAGCTGAACATGTACACCCTCTTCACATCACAAGTCACGAGTTAGGCAGCTCTGACTAACACTAGTGACTGAAATATTTGCTTTTGTTATACCGGCAATAACAACATGTCTGTGTTATTTATTTGTGCCTTGACCATAAGTAATACTAAAAGCTACTACTGCTGCTACTACTACTACTACTCCTTATGGTCAGAAAGTTCTTTCTGATTTCACTGACTCGCAAAAACTTTTCAGGTTGTTGAAAGTCAACAACCTTGTTGACAAAATGTAACCAACTGTGCAACTACACAACAATTTCCTATTTTACTTTTGGTTAAAATTTGTTTACGTTTTAACAGTTTAAATTTATAATCAGCCTACGTTTATCAGCTGTATAATGGCTGTGTATATACCTTTGCAGCTTCTCGCGAGAGCTGAATATTGAGCTCACTGTTAGAATTCGCACGTGCTCAGGAACCTTATAGTTATATAAATAGGAGCGAGCCTACTGGTTATGGCAGGCTCTGTGTGAACGTCTATGGGGAAAAAATTAAATGTGAAAGAGTGGATTACCTCGAAAGAAAATGCTGTACTCGAAAAGTTGCGTGTTCGACGGTTCTTACCTCCCGGCGTGGTGGAGAAGAGGGTCCCACCTGGCGTCTGGCTGTAACAGTCGGGGAGCTGGGACCAGTCCTTCAGGGTAAGCACCCTGGTGGGGATAGGGCAACTTTTAACTTGGTTGGTACTGGTCGACATGCTGTCTCCTGTGTAGCAGCTGGAGGTGGAGTGGGACGAGTGGCTTTAAAAGCTCTCACGCTCGCAGTATGACGTTTGCTCACAACCTTATATGACGTTAGGGACAAATAGTTTAAAACTTTAAAGGTCAGAGCAGTATGCCTATAATAGCTACCCAAGGAAGAGTTATGCAAGCGAGATTTCAAACAAGCTCGGAGTAGTTGACCCCGAGATGTCCGTCGCTACAAGTACCTCCCCAATGCGACCATGTGTTGTATTTGTATCAGGAACTCGTGATGTTTTTGTGCAGACACGTGGCGCAACGGCTAATTCAGTGCAAATGTTTTCATGTAAAACACAGCCTGTGGGGGCGGTGATAATAATGGAATAAGAAAATATTCAGTTGATTATCTGGTACTGATTTTGAAGAGAAGTAACCAGAACAGCTCAATGATTGACCGATCACACCACAGAACAAAAAGAATAAGACAAAAACCTGTAGAAAACTATCAAATGTCAGCACAGAAAATAAAGCTACGGGGCTACAAATAGCAAGTTAGTTAAAAATAAATGTTAATATTATTTCCTACATTAATCATCTTTTGTAAATGCCTGTTCTATTTTTTTTCTGATGTCTTGTTATGACTGATCAGTAGTTCAAATCACAAAATATAGCCTTGTACAATGTAATATCATGTATGACAGGCATACATTCCATTTGATAAGCTGAAACCAGAATTTTGACCCCAAAGCCGTGACTAAAACAATTAGGCCTACTCACTGTATCATAAATATCGAAAAGGTTGCACATACATTTCCAGTTCTTGATTAACCAAATCTTGCAGCTCTAACACACTGACACAGATCTGAGATCCATCCGCTGAATGACCATGGCATAACGAGTTTCAGTGTAGTCAACAGGGCTTCTGTGGGCCGCAAAACACGCGCACCTCCATCTCGTGCCTGCTGCCAACTCGACAGCGCCACCCACAGGGGTTTCAACGCGTGGACGTGTGCACGTTTCTCACGCAGAGCTTATCACAGCTACTGAAGAGTTCTGTTTGACTTCATCATCAATAAGTGTTATGTCCTGTCTTATGTCCTCTTTTTTCTGTGGCGATGGTCATATTTGTTTTATCACTTACCTCTATGTCGTATATGTTTATCCGTTTCATATTTATATTATGTTTGAACATTATAGGCTATGGTGTTATCCCCTAACTCTTGTGGGATGTCTAATTATTGTACATTGGTTTTGTTGAATTAGACGTTTGCGGAATAAATAAAAAGAAATAAACTCCAAATGATACAAAGCTGTCTAGATCCTGTCTGAACAGATGTAGCAAAATAGTTTTTACACAGTGGACACAAATGGGTCGGAAGATTAACACGTGTTGCGTTAATTCTGCATCAGTTTTCACTGACGGTTGCCAAAAAGTTTGCTTACTCGGCAAAATAGATTTTCAGTAATCATTTAAACTTTGCTATTTGAGCATGCACTTTCAGTTCCTCCCTGGCTTTCTGTGAAGAAGTTACTTCTATTACTCAACCACTTGAGGGCGACAACGACATTTATACGCCCTACAGTTAATATGAGCACGACACACAATACATTTGATGCCCATTTTGATGTTGTTATTACAGTAAAGTCCACGTCAGTTCGAATGTCTTTGACAGTGCATGACTGTATATAGGGATCTTTAATGTTCTTGTAAGGAATGGATCCTGCACGTAAAATATAGTTATAAATATCAGTGTTCTTCTGCAGCAAAGTGAATTTAGTGTCTAGGGTGCCACACGACGGAGCCTTAAGGATTATGGAGGCCATTGTGCTCTTAGGAACCTTAAGTGCAGCAGAAATGTTTTTTGTAACCTTGGCCAGATCTGTGCCTTGCCACAATTCTGTCTCTGAGCTCTTCAGGCAGTTCCTTTGACCTCATGATTCTCATTTGCTCTGACATGCACTGTGAGCTGTAGGGTCTTATATAGACAGGTGTGTGGCTTTCCTAATCACATCCAATCAGTATAATCAAACACAGCTGGACTCAAATGAAGATGTAGAACCATCTCAGGGATGATCACAAGAAATGGACAGCACCTAAGTTAAATATACGAGTGTCACAGCAAAGGGTCTGAATACTTATGACCATGTGATATTTCAGTTTTTCTTTTTTAATAAATCAGCAAAAATGTCAAATTCTGTGTTTTTCTGTCAATATGGGGTGCTGTGTGTACATTAATGAGGAAAAAAATGAACTTACAATGATTTTAGCATATGGCTGCAATATAACAAAGAGTGAAAAATTTAAGGGGGGTCTGAATACTTTCCGTACCCGTAAATGACAAAAAGAAAGTAAATAAGATCAGTGAACAAGTAGACTATACAGACGTGAAAGAATGTACTTATAAACAGTCAACTTGAATCACATCTAAGAACAGAGGCGGCACTGATGATGTTACAGGATGTAGCATGAATCAGATGACGTATAGTTCCGGGTTTGTAGGTCCCGAGAAGAGGTAACTTTCGGTCATTTCTGGTTGATCGAGGCACGACCACTGAAGGTAAGAATCCTCAAGCCTGCTCATTACCCAGGGTATCACTCTGGTTGCTGTAATTTCATTACTGCCTCTATCCGTTTGTAAATTTCTGTTTGGGTTTATTTTTGTGGGAAGTATTGAAAAGGTTTTAGCTAAATTCTTAGCAGATAACGTTAATCAACCTGCCGACGCTTGCTTAATGATAGCTGTACCAGCAGCATGTGGCGGCTTTTGTGTCATCATTTCGCCGGCCATCACGCTCATCACCATCGTCAGATAACCGCCAATAATTAAGTTTGATTCTCATCATATATCACACCCAATTCTGGTAAATTCTTAATCTGTTGGTTTCATTTTCAGTATAGCTTTTTATGGTTTATAAACGTTTTTGAACATGAAGTCTTGTAACGACCCATGTCTACGCCGAATTTGAGCATTTCTGATATTTAATTGTAATTATGCGGACTACATTAGTTATATACACCCACAAAAGGCGATTTTGTTTAAACTGAAGTGTTTCATTCATATGTGATGTGTATCTGTGTGAAGAAGGTTGGACGACCGGCTCTAACTACGTCTATACGCAACCGCCATTATCAGGTTATTACATCACATCATGTCATTTTCATTAATAGGTGGATGTGTCGGAATATTTGCCTTGCTCCATTGTTATGGAACAGGTTTTTCAAGCATGACAGGCAAAAAAAAAAAGAAAAAGAAAAAACAAAAGGCATAAGAATGGTACCTGGTTTCTTTATTACTATTTGGTTCTGTTAACAAAAATCCACCATGCTGTAAAAGACCTAACAAACCATCACCATCATTATTTTCCTTCTGGACTATTGCCAGATTTTTGTTCCTTATGAAATAGACATTTGAGACATAGATTACAGCTATGATTCACTGAAGTGTTAGTCACACACTGTTAAGTAATGTCCTTAGGACAGGGAGGGTCAGTACATTTCATACCTTATTTATTATAATTGAGATAATGTTGCAGAGTGGATACATACTGGTAGTTTTAAAGAAACTCGCAAGAAGAAATGTATTTTTCTGTCAAATGCAGTTGGAATCATGTTTTTCTGTATCTGTTATGTGACAGGAAAGTAGGGCCCATTTGATAGCATGTGTGGTTGCATTACTTTACTGTTTACAATTGGTTCTGTCACTGGGAGATTGTTTATTTTGATGCTGAAATCCAGTTGGAAAAGTCTGTCACTTGCACCACTCTGAAATTGTAAACAAGCTGATTTTTTTTTAGAGTGAACTTTGAGCAACTGCTGAGCTGGGTGAGAAGTAAAAGTACTATCATTGGCCGTCAGCAGCATGAGTCTCCTCTTCATCATAACACAGAGGGCTGTGGTCAGTCTGGTCAGAGGGGCAATGACTCAGTTCTGCTTCATCCCTCCATGACCTCTCAGATAACCTGCCCTTTATTGTTGAAAGGCTAAACAGGTGAAACACTAAAAGGGATGTAACCCACCCTGCGATGAGCTGACACATATAAATAAGCTTTAATGCGGATGGACAGACAAAGGTCGTTTGGTGCAGAGCACAAAGGAGGTGAGACTAGGTATTGAGTGTAGTTCTTAGAAAGCATAGCATGATCCTCCTCTGATGGTAGCTTACATGTTTTGTCAGAGTTCTGTTTTTGTGAACAGTGTGCCACCAGACAGCTGTTGGAATTTGATGAAAATTTGGGATGAAAAGCAATCAGGTCTTTTTGGGGGGCTTTAATTGGTAAAGTGCTTTGAATAATGACAGTTATTTCATATGTGCCACACACTCTTCCAGAGGACAGCATGGCAGATTCAGTACTCCAATCTATCCTCCTCTTTCCAATCCATCTTGTGGTATGGCTTTACTCAATCCTCTCCTTCCTGCCCTGGTACTACATTACCGGTGCTGGTCAAAGAAACGCTCAGTCCAAGCGGATAAAGGCCCGTTCCACATCAGGCTGTGCTGAGGGACCATACCGCTCTGTGGACCACTTTGATAGCCTGGCCAAGGAGGACTTCCCAGGCAAGGACACGCTGGATAAACTCTTTGAGCATGCTGTGCAGCGCTTTGGACAGGCAGACTGTCTCGGCACCCGAGATGTTCTGAGTGAAGAAAATGAGATCCAGCCCAGTGGTAAAGTTTTCAAAAAGGTAAGGATTCCCATTATTGTATGTTTTGGTGTGGGGTGATTGTGAGGACACAAATGTGAGTCAGCTGACTCTTTCTCCTTCTAGCTGATCCTGGGCAAGTATAGATGGCTGTCCTACAATGAACTGGACTCTATTGTCAGTCAGTTTGGCAGTGGATTGGCAGCTCTCGGGCAGCAACCTAAAAGCACCATTGCAATATTTTGTGAAACCAGAGCAGAGTGGATGATCACTGCCCAGGCATGCTTCAGGCGCAATTTCCCATGTAAGTATATATCAGTATTTACACTACAGTACAAGATGTTATGTTACAAAGTGTGGCTCAAACTGTACAACTGCTGATTATGTTGTCACTCACTGGATGTTTTGTATTCATAACAGTGGTGACTTTCTATGCCACATTGGGAGAGGAGGCAATCGCGTTTGGACTGAATCAGACTGGAGTTACACATCTAGTCACTAGTGTGGAACTGCTCGAGACTAAACTGAAAGTGAGTTCATCTCGTACAGCACAGAATCAGAACAGTTTCTTCTGAGAACAAGGGAAGCATGGGTAAAGCCTTTTTCATGCATAAGTTGCCTTAATAATTAACGTACGATGATGATTTGGAACAAATTCTGTTAACATTAAACTTGGTATGGGGGAACTAACTTGGCATGTAAATTGTTTTAGCTGATGAATGACTGAACTCAATTTCTGTATTTGTTCCGCACAAGACACACTCCATTACTTATTTTTAAACTGGTTTGCTATTAACAGGTAAATTGATTATGGCAGTTATTTTAACTAGGTACAACAAATGTGGTCAGACAGCTGCAAAATTCCTAACTTCTGCTAACATACAGTATTTGTGGGTCTTCCAGTAGTTCCACTGGATAGTTTCTTTAGTAGGTCACACTGCTGCCCATTATACGGTTTATATCAGTGGAAATTGACCTAGAAATCCTGTTTTGTAGAAGGATATCATGTGGTTGGGCATCCTGTTGTTGATAACAGCATTGCCCCTTTTTTCTGTTCAGGATGTGCTCCCACAGATCCCAAAACTGAAGCATGTGATCTGTGTGGACCAAAAGAAGGTGAATGCAGAAGGCTACCCAGCAGGACTTTCCATCCACAGCATGCAGGCCATACGAGAGCTGGGCATGCTACCTGAGAATAGTGTGTATTTCTCAAAGTCACTTTGGTTGTGCTTTGTGTATCAAATTCTGAGGTGAAAAAATTTACATATACAATACTAGACAATAACTGTTTGTTTATCTCGCAGTGGGGAGGCCAATTGTGAAGCCCCAGCCCTCTGATCTGGCTATGGTGATGTATACCAGTGGTTCTACAGGGAGACCTAAGGGAGTCCTGATTGTCCACAGTAACCTAATTGCTGGAATGACAGGACAATGTGAGCGCATCCCTGGACTTGGGTGAGTTTATGTATTGGTCAGTATATGATTTAGTGTTGTACAGTGTGCACAGTTTCCAGACATGACTCATCTTACACCAACTTCACTGCTCCGAATGAAAAGCACCTCTCTCCAGAGTACTTGATCTATTCCAGCTAAGTCAAGTCAAATTATATTTGACTTCACAAATGTGACTCAAAGTGCTTTACAAACCTTTTAATGGGGAGAAAAATGGAAAAAAAAACTCAGAAAGTGCAACAGAAGAATGAGTACTCTAGTAGAATTTTCCATACAAGTCTCTGCTGGGTCAGGCTTCCAGCAGCAGAATACTCACATTTACCAGCAATCTAGAGGTGTAATGATGTGGATGGTACATTTTTGTGACTGTTCTATCTATACTACACTGTATTACAAACTGTACTAAGGAACCATCCTTAGAGATGAACAGTGTGAAAATTGGTACAGAAAATATGTAGTGGCTCCAGGCCCTAACCTTTATTTTCTCTCCCTGTGTTCTGGTAGACCTAGTGACACTTACATAGCCTATCTGCCCCTGGCTCATGTTCTGGAAATGACAGCTGAAATCTCCTGTGTTACATATGGCTGTCGGATTGGCTACTCATCCCCCCAGACGCTGTCAGACCAGGTAATACCCAACATCAACATCGGGTCTTACGTTATTATCTGTCACTGTGTGTGGTAGTCTGTTTCTAGTTAACATACCTGGGTGTGGATACTAATACTTGTCCACATTATTGCATTGTCAGTTTAATCGGTGTTGCTGTTTAATCAGTGCCTTCAGCAGTTTTTCCCCTGTTCCCTTTAGTCCACTAAGATTAAGAAAGGCAGTAAAGGAGATTGCTCTGTGCTCAGACCCACCCTGATGGCAGCTGTGCCAGTAAGAATTCTGTCTTATATTCTTTTCCTATCATGACTCATGACTTGTCTCTGGTTTTTCTTCTCTCTCTCTCTATTCACACAGTTTTACGCACGTTTTCCACACCTGCTTGTCATCAAATGTATAAATTGACCATATATGCCTTCTTCTAAAAAAGGAAATTATGGATCGCATCAACAAGAACGTGATGACCAAAGTGCAGGAAATGGGTTTCATTCAGAAGACACTGTTTACACTGGGCTACAATTATAAACTAGAGCAAATCAAGAGGGGCTATGACGCACCACTCTGCAATGCGTAAGTAACCATTACGTCTCCTTCAGTGCTATCAGAAATGCAACTGTGTTGGTCTGCTTTAAAATCTTAACATCCAGCAATGTGCCTTTGCAGCCTGCTGTTCAAGAAAGTGAAAAAACTTTTGGGTGGACAAGTGAGGATGATGTTGTCGGGAGGAGCCCCTCTGTCCCCAGCCACTCAGAGATTTATGAATGTATGTTTCTGTTGTCCAGTGGGTCAGGGCTACGGCCTCACTGAAACCTGTGGAGCAGGCACCATCACAGAGGGTAAGACAGGATTTGAAGTGTAGAGTAGGAGGACAGAGTAAAGAGAGCACTGAAGAGCAATGTCATCAAGATATTGTGTCTTATTATACAGTTGCGGACATCAGTACTGGCCGTGTTGGAGCTCCTCTCATTTGCTGTGAGATAAGACTCAGGGACTGGGCTGAAGGTATGCATTTACAGTGCAGAATGAGGAGTATTTTTAAATGCAGAGTAATCGTTTGTTATTTTACTACTTCATTTGTCAATATCTCAGGTGGATACACCAGCAAAGACCAGCCAAACCCAAGTGGGGAAATCCTGATTGGTGGTCCCAATGTAACCCTGGGCTACTACAAGTATGAAAACAATGATCAGGACTTTTTTGTGGATGAAAATGGGCAGAGATGGTTCTGTACTGGAGATGTAGGAGAGATTTGTCCAGATGGATGTCTCCAAATAGTAGGTGGGTAAAACAAGTTATACCAGGCCAGTGATTATCAGATGATACACATGAGCTTGGTGTTTGTAAAAGGCTTACCATTCATACTTAATTTCATAGCCCTGATCTGCAGTCATAGTGGTTGAAACGGCTGACATGCAAACTGTTTACATTTGATAACAGAGCACTGTTCTTATGTTTTTATTTAGACCGCAAGAAGGACTTGGTCAAACTGCAGGCTGGGGAGTATGTTTCCCTCGGCAAAGTTGAGTCTGCTCTGAAAAACTGCTCCCTCATAGAAAACATATGTGCTTATGCAAACAGGTAAGTACACACTGGAAGGACAAGCCCCAACATAGGCTCACCAATAGCCCAATGATGGCCAATGGTTTGATGTGCCTCTGCCCTAAGATTTAAATGTTTCAAATGCAAATTTTCAGCATTAAGCATGCATGCAGTTTTCTCAGTAACCTTAACCTTTCTGCAGTGACCAGAACTATGTGATCAGCTTTGTGGTTCCCAACCAGAAAAAGTTGACTGAACTGGCCAAACAGAGAGGCATAGTGGGAACATGGCAGGAGATCTGCATTCACCCAGACATGGAGAGAGAGGTTCTGAAGGAGATCAAGGTGGTCTCTGCCAAGAGTAAGTCTTTTTATTATCTTAACGTTCATGCGTGCTTATTAATTTTGTCCATATCGCCACCCATATATGCTCATTCTGTATGTTGCGCAACAGTATTTTTGTTGCGCAACAGTATTTTAGTAGAAAAGAGGAAGTTATTCGTTTTATTGTACTGTATATAGCATTACAGTTCTCTTCCTATCCACTCTTAATCATATAGTTAATCTCCAGCGATTTGAAGTCCCAGTGAAGGTGCATTTGAGTCCAGATCCGTGGACTCCCGAGACAGGTCTTGTCACAGATGCATTCAAGCTGAAGAGGAAAGAGCTAAAGAACCACTATCTCCACGACATAGAGAGAATGTATGGGGGTAAATAACTTCAACGGTTTCACTAAAGAGTCTCCATTTATTACCATAACTACTGTTGTGATTTAGAAATAATCCCTGTACTCTTTATTGCATTTGATGCTGTTTTTGAACCATAGATGTCTAAATGGAAATGTCTTGAACAAAAAGGTTGAAGCTGTAGATAGATGTAGCTGTTGTTCCACATGTGCTGTTTCTTATTCATACATATTGAAGTTTTGATTGTCAAAGGAATTAACCGAATTAGAAACTCTTATATCATGAGACAGTTCTGAGACCATTACAGCACTTAAATGCCTTCCACTAAAACGCAGTATTTTGGCACTTTGTGGTGATTAAAGCATATCACTGTCCTCCATATATTCCTGAGGCATTGATGTTGCATTGACTGAAATTGTTATTCATCGCAGAGACTTGTAATGTGGCTTGTAAGGCTGGAGTACTGATCTTACTGTGCCTTCAGTCTGCAGTACCTGTGTACTTGAGCAGTAATGGCATCTAGATAATGACCTATGTGTTGTTGTGTTAGTAACAAAAATGACAGAGCTACCATGCTGTTTAGTTCATGTCTGCTTATCCACTTTTATTTTGTGACCAATGTTGTTTTATTTATTATTTTGTGCTGATTTATTGAGAAGGTAGGACCAAAATGTTCTAACATTAATGACTCAGGAAGATAAGTAAATGTTTAATATATAAAACTGTAAAATAGTGGATAGCTTACGTAGAAAGCACTTATGGCAAAATTCCTGTCGGCACCTTATTTATTAAAGCATGAGCATGCTTTACTACTAAAATGCTTAGCTGTAGTCAGTTCTGGCATACTGTAATACTGTGCATATTTTACCTCGGTTAACAGGTTCATGTATAATTTGGTATCAAAAGGTTATCAGCAGTTAAGTCTGTTCACTTCAAAATTATAGGAGTGTGTTTTCTATGTATTTTTCACAGTGCTGTCATGTTGATGGACTTGCATCATTAGGCTATTTGTATTTATTACTCCATTTATTATGGCCATATGCCTCTTCAACATTTCAAAAATAAACACCTTTTCATATTCAGTGTTGTATGACATTTTTATTTTATTACAAAAACAGAAATAAACCAGCCGTGTGTTTATTTACACGATTATTACGACAGTGCTCATACATTACAGAGGGAAGAAAGAATATGGATGAGGAGAGCCTCAGCTATTCCAGTCTTGAAATCGGAAACAGTCACTGGCAATCTTCCAAACAGGCTGCTCATTGTTGGGTGAAGCCTGAGCTGTTAAGAGAAAGTTCTGGTTGAAGAAACGCTGTTTGTTCCCTTCAAACTTGACTGTCCCACCAGTCACCACGAGCAGTGTGGTCTGGCCTTGTGTCGCTTGTTCTGGGAATGAACAAAGGGTAGACTGATGTTAGATTAGCACGCCTTCACTAGGACAACATCTCATGTTTATTTGCATAGATATTTTTACACCTTGATTATATTTGCTTTCATACGAGGCTTTTAGTATCTATCACTGACCGTGAACTGGCTGACAATCCAGTGTGTGAACTTGGAACTCACTGGATGGCAAGGACTCAAAAAACTCGCCCAGAGCATCCTGACCTGATACTGCATTCCCATTCCACACCAATGTCGCCTTGTCCAGGTAGAGTCGGGTCAGGTTCTGAGTTATCAAAACCAGTAAATAAACGCAATTTAGAACAAAAGTAACAGCAACAGTGACATCAACCAAAAGCAGAATATAGTATGTTACACAGCCTGATCACTGATATTTGAGAAAGAAAATTTGAATTAAAGAAAACATACATTTGAGAAACATATTTAAGAATATATGAGAATTTGAAAAAAATAATGATGTATGCATGTTTATTTATTTTTTACACAAACATTTTCTTTAAGTTTGATTATTACAGGACTGTGACCAAAACGTGTGAGTGGGACAGTTTAAGTTGTCCCTTCTCCCCAGGGAGCAAACTGTAAATGACCTCAAACATATCGGTAAGTTTTAGATTATTCTTGTCTGATATATATATATATATGCCAATACTGATATACAGTGGGTGCGGAAAGTATTCAGACCCCCTTAAATTTTTCCAGGCTGCTCATTGTTGGGTGAAGCCTGAGCTGTTAAGAGAAAGTTCTGGTTGAAGAAACGCTGTTTGTTCCCTTCAAACTTGACTGTCCCACCAGTCACCACGAGCAGTGTGGTCTGGCCTTGTGTCGCTTGTTCTGGGAATGAACAAAGGGTAGACTGATGTTAGATTAGCACGCCTTCACTAGGACAACATCTCATGTTTATTTGCATAGATATTTTTACACCTTGATTATATTTGCTTTCATACGAGGCTTTTAGTATCTATCACTGACCGTGAACTGGCTGACAATCCAGTGTGTGAACTTGGAACTCACTGGATGGCAAGGACTCAAAAAACTCGCCCAGAGCATCCTGACCTGATACTGCATTCCCATTCCACACCAATGTCGCCTTGTCCAGGTAGAGTCGGGTCAGGTTCTGAGTTATCAAAACCAGTAAATAAACGCAATTTAGAACAAAAGTAACAGCAACAGTGACATCAACCAAAAGCAGAATATAGTATGTTACACAGCCTGATCACTGATATTTGAGAAAGAAAATTTGAATTAAAGAAAACATACATTTGAGAAACATATTTAAGAATATATGAGAATTTGAAAAAAATAATGATGTATGCATGTTTATTTATTTTTTACACAAACATTTTCTTTAAGTTTGATTATTACAGGACTGTGACCAAAACGTGTGAGTGGGACAGTTTAAGTTGTCCCTTCTCCCCAGGGAGCAAACTGTAAATGACCTCAAACATATCGGTAAGTTTTAGATTATTCTTGTCTGATATATATATATATATGCCAATACTGATATACAGTGGGTGCGGAAAGTATTCAGACCCCCTTAAATTTTTCACTCTTTGTTATATTGCAGCCATATGCTAAAATCATTTAAGTTCACTTTTTTCCTCATTAATGTACACACAGCACCCCATATTGACAGAAAAACACAGAATTTTTGACATTTTTGCAGATTTATTAAAAAAGAAAAACTGAAATATCACATGGTCATAAGTATTCAGACCCTTTGCTGTGACACTCATATATTTAACTTAGGTGCTGTCCATTTCTGCTGATCATCCCTGAGATGGTTCTACACCTTCATTTGAGTCCAACTGTGTTTGATTATACTGATTGGA